CCCCAAACCCCCAAAACCCCAAAACCCCAAAACCCCAGTTTTAGATTTAAGAATTGAATAGGAAATCACTAATAATTTATTCTCAATAAGATTCAATGTAAGCAGAAGATATTTCCTCTGAAATTTGAGTCGTTTGTGCTAACTAATGAGATGGAACCTTCAAGGCTTATTGTTATTTCTAGTGCTAACTCTGGATATAGAAACATGATGGTTAAAACACAAGAAATGATGGCAAACCTTATGGGACTACCAATTTTAAACGATCTCAGACTTGAACCTCCAAGGTCTATGAATGGTAAGTCTATAGCGGCTTAATGTATCTTTATTTGTACCTTCTATTTATGACAGACTTATTAATTCTGACAGCAGATGAGTAAATATGCGCCCCTTCTAAGGAGTTAGTGATAATATCTTCAACGAAGATCTTAATTTTCAAAATAGCTTATATTATCATAAAAAGATTCGATCTCAAAAACGAACGTTCGATTTTCCTTTTTAATAATGGTTATTTCATAAGCATAAAATTTTCCAATATCCATATCCCTCTCATGAGCTTTCTAAGCTAACTTAGAGTTTATTATTGAAGAAATCGTGTCTCTAAAATAACAAATGTAATGAAGGGAGACTTTGGAGCTAGGAAAGTTTATTCAGCTTTATTTCTACGAATCTTTCTAATACTAACATCATAAACCAGCTTTCTACTAGATAATGGAAAGGCAAAATTTTTAACCTGGTTTGTAAAGATCTTAGCGCTTGACATTGCCTTCAATCTAAAACTTATAGTTTTTACGTTCGAACAGGATTTGGGGCAATTAACTTTATTTCGTAACTTCCTAACTCGTTGATAAACTTAGTGAGACTTTTGTTCACATCTTAATGTCGATATAGAACTGGTGCTCTCTCATCATGAGAGCCTAGCTCATGCTCCTCCTCTGACTTATATCAGTCAGGAGTTGCCAAAGATGAGTTTCAATGAATTCTGCTCTTGTATGCCTACTGGCTTACTCATCAAGACTTGAGGAGATGAGAAGCATGAAATAACTTCGAATTATTCTGAAGAAATCAAAGAGAGTCCCAAAGGAACTCAAAGTAAGCAGAGCAAATCTCCAGTCAAAGAGCAGATTAAAGTGACTGGTGGAACTTTAAAGAGGAGGAACAATAAATTCAGAGACGTAAGGGAGATGAAAGATGACTCACTTACCAACCAAGATCTCATGGAGGAGAAGAAATTCTTGATGAAGCAGTACGGAATTGACTCAAACCTGAACTATTTCAATATCTCTTATGTTTCTTCAGAGAAATTTGATAAGTAAGCTTCCTCTTCTTAATGTTTATAGGAAGAAAAGAATTTTCTCATGTAACTTCGAAGGATGTGGAAGGACATTCTGAAAGACTTGGAATCTCTTCGACCACCTCAGAATCCATACAAAGGAAAAACCATTTAAATGCAAAGTATGTGGAAGAGGCTTCGCTCAAAATGGCAACTTGACAAAGCACGAGAAGGTTCACCTGAATGCTGACAGGAGGAAGTATAAGTGCAATATCTGCCCAAAGGCGTATACTGAGAAATACAACCTCAAAATCCATAAGCAGAAAATTCATGGCATTCAGGCCAATTAATTATTAATAAAAAATTGGTTAAATTTCCTCGGTTTACACAAATTTGGGTTAATAAATTCTCCGCAATATTTTATATAGGATCTGTGGATGACTGGAGGTAAACTAGAGATACGATAATTATAAGTTGGGATATCAGTATTATTAGTTGACTTGTTTTTCGTATAAATCTGATCATCTGCTTTGTATCCCATAATTGGAAACATCGAAATTTCTAATTAAATAGGTGAAATCTTTATTTAAGCTTAAAAATTGTGCATCTTGATAAAAGCGTTGGAGTAGTACAGCCAAAGAGATAGCTCCTTTGACTTAAAGAATTCAGTTGTCTTTTAGTAAAATTTATATGGCGACTCATTAAAATTCTCTCCCATAATAATATTATCAAATGAGCCCGGCTAAATTATAGAATTCATCAGAAAGCAAGAGTACTTATTAGGACTTTCCAAGAAGTATTGATCAAGCTTGTCTATCCCTTGGCACTGGAAGACAAAACGGCAAGTTGGCTTAACAAAATTGAAAATTTAGCCAAATTTTTTTCATAAGCCAGACACTTAATTTCTATTTTTCCTAAATCCAGTATCTCCATAACTTTAAAAGTACAGTAGGGTCTATAAATTAGTTCAAGTATTCAGCTAGTTATAGACATCATTATTGGCTCTATAACAGGGACTTGAGTTCCTCCGATACTTTTCCTTGTTTCCTCGTATGCTAAGAAGCAATAAAAAGCAAGTACAAAACTATTGATATCGTTTTCTCACATTTAGTTAATGATTTCAAGTGAAACCTCTTTATTTGTAATTTTATTAACCTATTGTTCTTACATAACACGGCTGGGGTTATTCCTGAAGGCTTCTAAGTTTGATAGAGTTATTGTTGCTTCTAACCTGGACTTATACTAACGATAAGACCTCCTTGGGATAACTTTAACCAGCCAAAGCTCACCAATATATGAGGTTAAAAATGTGTCAACCATTTGGCCCACTAAGCTAAACTTTAAGCCTGAATGATTCTTAGCAAGTTCTAGAGACTTATGGAATTTCTAGCAAGCTCTTGGGACTTATAGATGGTCGATGACCAAATTTTAGTCAAGATAATAAACCCCACCATGAGTCATTCCTTAGTATTTTAATAACACGAAAGCTTATTATTGCTCTTTGGTTCTAAAAGGAGGTCTTATTGGATACTTAAATTCCTAAGCTGTGTGTCAGTCTCTCAATGAGTAATATACCTTGAAACTTATATATCGTTTTGGGAAAAATAATGTTACTAAAAGTCTTCATAATTTCTGGCATTGAAATTTCATCTACTTTCCAAACTAGGTACAGAAAATGCCTATTTTAATGATCAAGGACTCTGGCCATATTTATGAACTTGATTTATACTTCTCTAACACTTCTTCAATGAGAACGGTTGTCCTCTTTTATTGAAAATGAAGCTTTGGGAGGCATAGTATTGGAAAATTTTGAACCTACCATTATTGAGTTCTTAAATTTCTGCTGTGAAAATAAACCGAAAGGGACTTAGAAACATCATTTAGGTTTTAGCAATTTTAGATGCCATCTAGCATTTCAGTTAAAGCCTATTGGTTGTAGACCTGGCATATAAAACGTATTTCTGTTTACATTCATCTTTACTGATTAGGAATCTGTAGACATGTACGTGACGGTTTGGCAGGTTTGAAGAAAAATTTAATTAGCTTGAAATTTGGCTGGAAAATATCGCCAATATTTTTGAGTTTTATCAATGATTTCTCAATGCATTATGGATCATGTCGGCTTTACTGAAACTCTGTACCCTTTGGCCGGTTGGGTCCAGAATTGGAGTGAACTATCAGACAGCTGTTCATTACTTCTTTCAGTTAGCAAGCTATAGCTTTTTGTACAAGTCTAAGACATAAACCACAAAGTTGCTTTAGGAGTTATGCTAAGGTGGGTATGGTTTCTTTCTCAAGCGACTCAACTGGGATATAATCATTAAGTTCAGGGATGAATTCCTAATTCATGCTAATCAGTTGAGCATCAATCCTGCACTATTCTAGCCTGAATTCAAAGAGAAGTATTCATGATTCTTTTTATTTCTTGCCAACTAAGAACTCCTATGAAGAATCCTAGCCAAAAGAGTTAGAGGTGAGGTTTAGAAAGGTAGATTTGTAGTTGAACTAAGCTCTCACCTCATTGAATCATAAACTGTGCCTTAAAAGGCTAAAATTTGTGGTACGTTCACCCTTCTTTCACCTAAATTCACCTCAAAAATAATTTGGTTATTAATTGGGGTAAAAATGAGAAGACACTGGAGAAGCAGAGCAAGAGGGAGGGTTTACCTCTTCATCTTTCCAATAATTATTACTTCAGATATCATCAAGAAGTTTTATTATGCCAAAGATGATTTCTCATGCTCAAGTGAAAGCCTTAATTGAATAAATGTCTCATTAGAACCTTCCGTGATAATAACAACTGATTTAAGAAGTATTTTTAATTTAATATAACAAAGGATGAAATCGATGCTCTTGCATGATTTCTCACTAAATAAGAAACAATTTAGCTTCCCAAACGACCGTGGCACAAATTGGACGGGATATCAGGAATGTTTGCAATGTTTTTCCATGACAGTTATGAAGGTTTGAAGAATTAACAAAATAACTGCAGAGAGTGTCATTATGCTCGAAAGTTATAATAACTTCATATCTTCCTTTACGCAGTTATTAATGCTGCTCATGAGAAAGGAAATCAAGACTTTTAGTCCTCAAGCCTTAAAGCGGACTTCATTTTTATATGAGAATATTTAAATAATATTATTAATTCTCTTGCTGCAGCTGAGACTTCCAGACCAAATCTTGGCCTTAGAAAACATCCTTGCTTTCATGAAAAATCAATCTGGAGCGATGCGAATTTGTTAGAGGGATTGTTACTCAAAATACCTGCTGGGATAATGGTCTATGTGACCTTATTTTCAAGCTGATATGGGTTTATGGTAAATCAAACATAAAGGATTTACACCTCTTGCGGACTCTGGATCAACCTCAAGCTGCTTGGATGTTGACAGAAGGTTAAAGTGTCTTCCTTACTGACCGATTTTGCTCTAAATTTTATATAATCACTTGTTCACATGAAAGTTCTTATCCTGAGATTTCCAGCTACATATACTTCAACTTGATTAGTTACCCAAGGGGTTTTGGGGTTTTGGGGTTTTGGGGTTTTGGGGTTTTGGGG